GTCGATGTTCATGAGGGATATTGGTTTGTAATTTTCTTGTTTTGTGGTGTCTTTACCTGGTTTTGGTATCAGGGTTATGCTGGCTTCATAGAATGAGTTTGAGAGTATTCCATCCTTTTCTGTGCTCTGAAATACCTTTAGTAGTAGTGGAGTTAACTCTTCTCTGAAAGTTTGGTAGAAATCTCCAGTGAAGTCGTCAGGGCCAGGGTTTTTTTTTTTGCTGGGAGTTTTTTAATTACCTTTTCAATCTCTTCTTTTGTTATAGGTTTATTTAGTTGTTCTACCTCTGTTTGTGTTAGTTTAGGTAGGTAGTTAATGGAAATTTTTCCATTTCCTCTAGGTTTTCAAATTTGTTGTATAATTTTTCATAGTATTCTGTTATGATTCTTTTAATTTCAGTTGAGTCTGTTGTGATATCACCCATCTCATTTCTTATATGGGTTATTTGGTTCCTCTCCTGTTTTTCTTTTGTCAGTTTGGCCAGTGGTTTATCATTTTTGTTGATCTTTTCAAAGATCAGGTTTTGGTCTTGTTAACTCTTTCAACTGTTTTTCTATTCTCTATTTCATTTAATTCTGCTCTAATTCTTATTATTTCCTTTCTTCTGACCCCCGAGGGCTTCTTTTGCTGCTCTCTTTCTAGTTGTTCCAGTTGTAGGGTTAATGTTTTGATTTTTGGCCCTTTCTTCTGTTTGGAGGTGTACATTTATTCCTATAAATTGACCTTTGAGCACTGCTTTTGCTGTGTCCCAAAGGTTCTGGTAGGATGTGTTTTCATTCTCATTTGACTCTGTGAATTTCTTTATTCGCTCCTTAATTTCTTCCATAACCCAGTAATTTTTGAGCAAGGTGTTGTTCAGTTTCCATGTATTTGATATTTTTCTCTTGCCTTTTCTGTTATTGATTTCTACTTTTATGGCTTTATGGGTCAGAAAAGATGCTTTGTAGTATTTCGATGCTTTGGATTCTGTTAAGGCTTGCTTTGTGTCCTAATATGTGGTCTATTCTGGAGAATGTTCCATGTGCATTGGAAAAGTAAGTATACTTGGCTGCTGTTGGGTGGAGTGTTCTGTATATATCTATGGAATCAAGTTGGTTGATTGTGGCATTTATATCTTCTGTGTCTTTACTGAGCTTCTTTCTGGATGTTCTGTCCTTCACCAAAAGTGATGTGTTGAAATCTCCTACTATTATTGTGGAGCTGTCTATCTCTCTTTTCAATGCTGTTAGAGTTTGTTTTATGTATTTTGGAGCCCTGTTCTTGAGTGCGTAAATATTTTTTTAGTTATGTCCTCCTGGTGTATTGACCCTTTGATCATTATATAGTGTCCTTCATTTTCCTTTGTGGTGGATTTTACTCTAAAGTTTATTTTGTCAGATTAATATTGCCACTCCTGCTCTTTTTTGAATGTTGTTTGCCTGATATATTTTTTTCCATCCTTTGAGTTTTAGTTTGCTTGTGTCTAAGTCTAAAGTGTGTCTCTTGTAGGCAGCATATAGACGGATCATGTTTTTTTATCCATTCTGCCACTCTCTGTTTCTTTACTGGTGCATTGAGCCCATTTACATTCAGTGTAATTATTGATAGGTATGAGTTTAGTGCTGTCATTTTGATGTCTTTTTTTGTGTGCTGTTGACAGTTTCTTCGTTCCCCTTTATTTTCTGTGCTGAGTCATTTTTCTTTATGTATTTTCTTTTCATCTTTTTCATTGTTGTTGGTTTTGTATTTGCTGAATCTTTATATTTTTCTCATTTTTTATTTTGATGTGTAGGATTGTTAGTTTCCTTTGTTGTTACCTTAATATTTACCCCTATTTTTCTAAGTTTAAACCAGTCTTTTATTTCTTTATATTGCCTTGATTTTCTCTCCATATGAAAAATCTACGTCTACATTTTGTAGTAGTTCTTTTTTGTTTTAATGTTGTCATCTTTTACATATGGACATCTCTGTTTCCCTATTTTCAGTGTTTTAGCTTTGATTTATTCTTGTGACTTCCCTGTCTGGGTTGATATCTTGTTGTTCAGTCCTGTGTTCTAGTCTTGGGTTATCTGATTTTCTAACTGGAGGACTCCCATTAGTTTTTTTTGTAATTTTAGTTTGGTTTTTGCAAATTCCCTAAACTTCTGTTTATCTGGAAATGCCCTAATTTCACCATCATATTTGAGAGACAGTTTTGTTGGATATATAATTCTTGGCTAGCAATTCTTTTCCTTCAAGGCTTTATATATGTCATCCCATTGCCTTCTTGCCTGCATGGTTTCTGCTGAGTAGTTCGAGCTTACTTTTATTGACTCTCCTTTGTAGATGACTTTTTGTTTATCCCTAGCTGCTCTTAAAATTCTCTCTTTATCTTTGGTTTTGGCAAGTTTAATTATAATATGTCTTGGTGACTTTCTTTTGGGATCTACCTTATGTGGGGTTCAATGAGCATCTTGGATAGATATCTTGTCAGCTTTCACGATATCAGGGAATTTTTCTGCCCACAAATCTTCAACAATTCTCTCTGTATTTTCTGTTATCCCCCCCATTCTGGTACTCCAGTCACCCGTAGGTTATTCTTCTTGATAGAGTCTCACAGAATTCTTAGGATTTCTTCATTTTTTTAAATCCTTTTATCTGATTTTTCCTCAAATAAGTTGGTGTCAAGTGCTTTATCTTCAATCTCACTAATTCTGACTTCCATTGTCTCAATTCTGCTCCTGTGACTTTCTATTGAGTTGTCTAATTCTGACATTTCATTGTTAATCTTCTGGATTTCTGATTGCTGTCTGTCTATGGATTCTTGTGGCCTGTTAAATTTGTCATTATGCTCTTCTCTAATCTTCTTAAATTCCTCTATTGCTTGGTCTGCGTTTTGCGTAATTTCCTTCCTGATCTCTTCAAGAGTTCTGTGTCTTAATCTGTTGTATTCTGCCTTCAGTAATTCCAAGAAATTCTCTTCCTCTGGAAAATTTCTTGGTTCTTTATTTTGGGAGCTTGCTGAAGCCATCATGGTCTGCCTCTTTATGTGATTTGGTATTGAATGTTGTCTCCAAGCCATCAATAATTTATTATATTTATTTACTTTATGTTTTCTTACTGTTTCCTAGCTTCTTGTTTTGTTTTGTTTTGATATGCCCAAATAGGCTGCTTGTGAGAGCTACCCTGATCACCAGCACCCCTGAAGCTCCAACATCCTGCCACCAGGTGGCCAGAACTGCCACTAGGTGGGTGGGTTTTGCAGCTGGAGTGGAAGCACTCAGTGCTGTAGGCTGTAAGTACTAGGGGGCACCACTTATCCTTGGGCCCCTGTCGCAGGTGGCTAGGTGGCATGAGTGGAGCCACCAGTCCTCAGGCCCCTGATGTGAGTAGGTGAAGACCCCGCTTAATGGGCAGAGCAGTGTCAAAAGTCACGAACCTGTCACTTCACAGCTGAAACAGTTGAAGTTAGACTTCAAGTATATACCCTGTTGTACTGTGGTAATGAGGGCCTACGCTGTTGAAATGGGCCCACACAAGTCTCTGCAGGGAGAAAGGCACTCAGAGTCTGTGGACTCCTTATGCCTGTGCCTAGGCAAAGGAGCTGTGTCTACACTGAATTCCTGGCTTAGGGGAGCTCATAGATTATTTTTTCCATTGTTTGTTAATTTGTTCTCTCTCCAAGGCTGGGAGAATGGCTCAGGGCACATGAGGGGTCCTACTTCTGGCCCAGGGGACTTGGCAATCACTAAAGCCATCCCAGACCTAGTGAGATGCCCTTTATTCTTATGCTTCTTTCTGTGTCCTTTCTTGCCTTGGTCATATTATACTGACTTCCATCGTATAATATATTACCCTTCCCTTCACCTATATTAACTTGTGTCTTCTATCTAATTGGTGATTTTCCCTCCCTCCACTCCCATCTCTGGCAACCATCAAAGAATGTTGTTTTCTTTTTTCCTCTGTGTAAACCTTCTGTTGTTACTTTATAGTAGTCGTCTCATACAGTATTTGTTCTTTTGTGATTGGCTTATTTCACTCAGCATAATGTACTCCAAATTCATCCATGTTATGAGATGTCTTGCAGATTTGTCATTATAATTTATCATTGCATAGAATTCCATTGTGTGTATGTTCCACAATTTGTTAATCCATTCATCTGTTGATGGGCACTAATCATTTTTTAAGTATGTAATTCAATGATAGTAGTTACATCCACCATGTTGTGCAACCATAACCCCTACCTATTTCTAAAACTTTTTCATCACCAGAGAAACTCTGTATGCACTAAACAATAACTCCCTATTTCCTCCTCCCCTTAACCTATGGTAACCAGTCTACTCTCTGTCTCCATGCCTTTGCTTATTCAAGATATTTTATATAGGTGGGATCATATAATATTTTTCCTTTTGTGTCTCACTTATTTCACTCAGCAATGTTTTCAAGGTTTGTCCATGACATAGCATGTATCAAAATTTCATAGGTCAATAATATTCCATTCTATCTATATATCACATTTTATTTACCCATTCATCTATTGATAGACACTTGGACTGTTTCCACCCTTTAGCTATTATGAATAGTGCGTCAATGGACATCGGTGTACGTGTATCTGTTTAAGTCCTTACTTTCAATTTTTGTGAGTATATATCCAGTAGTGGAGTTGCTGTGTCATATGGTAGTTTTATATTTAAGTTTTTGAGGAACCATCAAACTTTTCCACAGTGGCTGCACCATTTTACATTCCTATCACATCCTCCCTAACACTTACTATTTTCCATTTGTCTGATAATAGTCATTCAAGTGAGTGTGAGGTGGTAGGTATCTCATTGTGGTTTTGATTTTCATTTCACTAAAGACTAGTGATGCTGAACATCTTGTCATGTGCTTATTAGTCATTTGTGTATCTTCTTTGGAGAAATTTCTGTTCAAGTTCTTTTTTGATTCAGTTGTTTTATTACCACTTTTGTTAAAAATAAAAATCTAACAGTTTTCTTTTTCTGGAAAGGATGGAATGATCATGATAATTCTGTCATTCTCAGCCGCTATAGGACCCTTCGGAATGTGGGAAATGAATCCGACATCAAAAAACGAAAAACTAATAGTGACATCCTCCAAATACTGCAACCAAGGCCACCTAAACATTCCACAAGTTTTGCCGAGTGGACTACTAAGGTACAAAAAATTTCTATGATCTGTGGGTTATTCCAGGAATAAGAATCTGTATAATGTCATCGTTACCTCTTCTGACAAGTGGTTCTAAATGTTTTATGTTAGTTTTTTCTACTTGTCTTATACCCTGGGCCTGGCCCAACAAGCAGGTGAAAGAGGTGATATTCCTTCCTTCCCTTGCTGTACCCAGGCCCCGTTTGCCCTCTTGGGTATTTGTTCCTCCTTTCAGAGGCCAGCCTCTTCTCTCTCTTCCAGGTCCCAGACCCTCCTGATACACTCATCCAGGTGCCCCCTTAGAAGGGCCTTGTCCCGGGCCATGGATCTTTTCCTTTGCTGTGGCTCTTTCCCTCAAGCCTCATTCTCTGACAGGGGTCTGACTAATAATCTTATTACCATTGTGAAAGAGCAGCCAGTTAGAGCAGAGCCCAAAGGTGGGGCTTCACCATGAGCCAAGTCCCAAGAGACCTACCTCCTCCTCTTCCAGTGAAGGGCCCAGCCCTGAGGACCACATCCAGACCTCCATTCTGGCTGAGAAGATGGACTACAGAGAAGAGATGATCATTCAAACTCCTCCAAGAAAAGTTTCACCTAACTTGAACAAAATAAAAGGAAACACTACAAAATTAATCACCATCTTGATCTAGTCAGTACTATCAGAGCTTTAATTATTATTAGTTAACAAATATCTATCAATCCCAACTATGCATCAGGCCCTAGCCAGGTCATGAAGATAAAAAGGAGAATACAGCATGATCCCTGTGGGCAGAGAAAAGTGAAGAAGCAATGGCTAAATGATGTGAGCTGAGTGCCCCAGACACACGTGCAAAGTATTGTGAGAGGGTCTGCAATCTCCATGTCTTCAACTAACACAAATATCGCCCCATTCTAGGCCTGACCTAGGACTCTGTTTCTCCTCTTTGTTTCTGGGTCTCATTGTGCTTTCCTTCCCTCGCTTGTCTCTAGAGTCCACATCACCCTCATAATTGCTGGCTTAACGTCTGTCTTGCCTGCTAGCCTGTAAGTTCCGTGGGGGTAGGGGCTATCCTTTGTCTTGTCTGTTGTTATATCCTAGCATGGTTAGTGTGCCATGACTCTACTAAATGAATGTCTATAAAACTTCAGCTAAAACTTAAACTTGTCAAGACAGAGGACTTTGAAACCAAAACATGATAGTACAGTATTTTTAAGCAAATAACTTGCACATTATATGTTTTTTGCCAACTGCGCAACCCACTCTTGCATTATTTTCCTAGGTGTGCTATATGCATTTTATATGTGTGGGTGTATTATTTATGTGGGCATGTTATTTGAGAAAAAATACAATAATAGCTAACAATTATATAGTGCTCACTAAGTGCCAGCTATTTTGCTAAGCACTTTATGGATGTTACCATGTTACCAGAGTGAATCCTTATAACAACCTCTGAGGCAATTATCCCCATTTTGCAGATGGACAGACTGAGGCACAGATGAATAATTTTTCCAAAGGCATAGAGCCAGCAGTGGATGCAGCGGGATGGGAAGTCAACCAGTCTGGCTACAGAGGACATGTGCATAAGCCACTCCACTACACAAAGCTGAGATGGTATCAAGTCTACCAACTCATTTAATTGTTAGGGATATCTAGGCACAGAGGCAGTACTTCACTTACCCAGGCCTGGACAGCCAGAGAGTGGCAGAGCTCAGAAGAGAACCCTGTTCTTTTGTTTTCCAGTCCAGTGGTTCTTTCTGCTAAATGTCAATGACTCATATTGAGTTTTGATCAACTTCTAGTCTGTCTTAGTCATCTAGTGCTGCTCCAACAGAAATACCAAGGTGGATGATTTTAGCAAAGAGAAGTTTATTCTCTCGCAGTCCAGAAGGCTACAAGTCCAAATTCAGGGCGTCAGCTCCAGGGGAAGGCTTTCTCTGTCTGTCGGCTCTGGAGGAAGGTCTTCACCATCATCAGTCTTCCCCTGGACTAGGAGCTTCTCTACGCAGGAACCTTGGGTCCAAAGGACACGATCTGTTCCTGGTGCTTCTTTCTTGGTGGTATTAGGTGGCACACCCCAGGAAAACTCCCTTTACATTGGATCAGGGAAGTGACCTGGGTAAAGCTGGTGTTACAAAGATTATAATCACAAAATAGAGGACAACCACACAACACTGGGAATCATGGCCTAGCCAAATTGATACACACGTTTTTGGGGGGACACAATTCAATCTATGACACAGTCTTACCTTTTAATTCATTTTTAAACTTTGTTCTTTTTGCTGATTTTAGTGACTTGCCCATTTTCATGGTCACATGTTTAATTTTTTGCAGCACCAGGTCAAGTTTTCCAGCGTACACTGCTGTGTCCTTTCTTTCAACTACCCCAGTTACTCTTCTTAAGTGACACTCTGGCTGTATGGTTGTTGCATCTTATTTTCTTACTCCAAATGCCTTCTAACTATGAGAGCACAGAGTTTTGAGGACAGCATTAATTTGAAAGTGTCCCTGGGTGGTGCAAATAGTTAATACATTTGGCTGTTAACCAAAAGGTTGGAGGTTCAAGTCCATCCAGAGGTGCCCTGGAAGAAAGACCAGTTGATCTACTTCTGAAAAATCAGCCACTGAAAACCCTGTGGAACACAATTCTGCTCTGACACACATGGGGTCACCATGAGTGGGAACTGACTCAATGGCAACTGGTTATTAATCTGAAAAAAGTTTCCCTGGGAGACCTTTTAGATACATACTTCTTAAAAACAAAACAAACAAACACAAAAAAAGCCTAAAGCACTCATTTTGGCAATGGCTGCCAGGCCTGGTTTCAGTCTGTCAACTCTCTTTAAGGGGTAAATATTATCAAGTATGAATTTGGAAGGGTGGGCAAAATAATAAAAATACTGTATAGTTCAGGGAGGCAGAGCCAACATGGTGCTATAGACAGAAGTAGCATGCTGTTCCTCCACAGCAAAGACCAGAGAAACTAAGTCAAACAAAGCCAAATGTCAGCCTGGAACCCTAAGCATCAAATGAAGAGATAAAGAACTCAGCCAAGCGCTGAATGGAATAAGAAACTGACAGAGAACAGAGAGAAGGAGAGATACGTGCAGAGGTCCTCTATCAGCTAACACAGCATGGATTCGCCATCTTGGACTCCTGTTGGAGATCGGTGGACAGGGAGTACAAGAAAGCAGCTTCACGGTGCTCCCAGAGGAGACAGAGCACCTGGTAACTAGCGATATATGCTTTCCTACTCCCCACCCTTCTTCCACCTCCCCTCGGCCTCCTCTGCTTCCCGCCAGCCACAGTCTTTTGGCTGGGAGGCACCAGCTTCAGTTGTGTGCTGCTTGGATTCACCCCGCCCACACCAGCTGGCTCCCCGAGTGCCATTTGTTTGTTGCTGGTGTTGCTTTTTTCTGCTTCTTTTGGTTTCTTCCATGCCTCTCACCACCTCCTCCTCCTTTCTCTTGAACACCTGTCTCCATGTGCCATCCTTACTTCTTCTTGAAAGGCTGTGAAGCACCGCTGGACTGGGGAATCATGCTGGTGAGATCCCCAGGACTTTTTTTGTTTGTTTTGTTTGTCTCTTCTTGGCTTCTAGCCGGGCTGTACTGTGAGGCTTGAGAGCCACTTCCCTGGTGTGTGCAGCTGCGGTGGTGGTATCCCTGGGGACGTTCCTTTTTTCTTTGTTTTTTTCCTCTTTTGTCTTTCTTCATTCTCAGTTTCTCATCTCTCTATACTTACCTTCTTCTCCTGTCTCCTGAATACCTGGTGCTGTGTGATACCTCTACCCCTTCTAGCCAGGCTGTACTTTGCAGCTTGGGAGCCACTTCCTTAGTCTTCACAGCCACACTGGTGGGATTCCTGGTGGCTTTTCTTTTCTTTTCTTTTCTTTTCCTAATTTTTACTTATTTTTTGCTCTTTCCCTTTTTTTTCCTTTTTGTTTTTCTCCATTTGTTGGTTTTTCATCTATCCACTCCAATGGCAAGCTCTCTTACCACTCTTTTATTTGTTGCTTTATTTATTTGTCCTGTTTCTCTGTCTTCTCTCTCCTCTTTCCCACACCTATCTTAGCTGTACACATCACAGTCTCCCCCCTCCTTCCTGCCTACCTGCACTGAGTGCTGAACATCACACCCCTAAGCAGCACAGGCATGGCCTACTGGAATCTGCCTTGCACTGATTCCTGGCCCACACTGTCTGCCCTAGTACATGCCACAAAAAACCCATCCCAGCCCCTCCCCTTCAGCTAGACCTGCCCTGCAACACCATGACTGAGCGACTGGCCCTGCCTATTGGACAAGGAGGTGAAAAATATTGTGCCCACAGATGAGCAAACAACAAAGAATGCACAGCCCACCTGCTCAGAAATAACCAAATAAAACAAAAAAGGAGGACAAAACAAACAAATCTACAATCAGTAAAAGAAGAAAATAACTACTGAATGTCCCAAAGACAGCAGACAATATCAAAACATATAAAGAAAAAAGACAGGATGGTTCCAATAGGCATCCAAAATAAAACACCAGATGACTTTCCAGTAGAAGAAAAGACACTAGAACTACCTGATAGGGAATTCAAATCTCTAATATTCAGAACCATCCAAAAGCTGAAGCAAAAAACAGACAAAAATGAGGAAAAAATATACAAATTCATGGAAAAGGCAGACAAATTCATGGAAAATACAGACAAAAAAATAGAAAAATTCAGGAAAATACAGGAACAAAATGTCAATATAAATTCATGACTAGAAATCATACAAAAACAACAATTAGAAATCCAAAAGGTAACAAGATTTCAGAAATGGACAGTGTCATAGAAGGGCTGAGGAGCAGGTTTGAAACGATGGAAGACAGAATCAGCAAAATTGAAGGTGAACACTTGGATACAACTCTGTTTGAGGAAAAATCAGAAAAAAGAATGAAGAAAAATGAAGAAACCCTGAGAATTATGTGGGATACAATCAAAAGCAAAAATTTGCAAGTGATCAGAGTTCCAGAACAGGGGGAGAAAACGGAAAACACAGAGAGGATCATTGAAGAACTGCTGACAGAAAACTTCTCCAATATCATGAAAGATGAAAAGCTGACCATCCAAGAAGCTCCACGAACCCCATATAGGATAAACCCCAAAATAAAATCACCAAGGTATATCATAATCACACTTGATAAAACAAAAGACGAAGAAAGAATCCTGAGAGCAGCTCGAGAAAAACAAAAAGTCACATACAGAGGAGAAACAATAAGACTAAGCTCCGATTATTTGACAGAAACCACGCAAGCAAGAAGGCAATGGGATGACATGTATAAAACCTCGAAAGAAAAAAATTGCCAACAAAGAATAATATATCCTGTAAAACTCACATTTGAATATAATGGTGAAATTAGGACATTTTCAGATAAACAGTAATTAAGAGAATATGTAAAAACCAAACCACACTTAAAAGATTTATTAAAGGGAGACCTTCAGTCTGAGAACAAACGACATCAGACCACAGCCTGAATCTAGGACACTATATTGTACCAGCCAGATACCAACCTAGGAAATGAACTCTCAAGGACTATCCAAAACCAAAGGAATTACAACAGGGAACCAGAGAGGTTAATCTGTAAATGACAATAACATCAGAACAATAAAAGAGGGAATAAATGGTGTAGGTATAGAACTTTCTAATGGAGAGAAAGGCAAGGTGATACCAAGTAATAATAGACTGGTTTAAACCTAGAAACATAAGGGCAAATTTCAAGGTAACCATAAAGAAAGTTAACAAACCTACTTATCAAAATAAAGAAGAAAAACATAAAGTGTCAGTAAAAACAAAATCTACAAAAACAAAAGAAATGAAAAAAATCCACAAACAAAAAGGAATTCAGCACAGGAAAGTAAGAGGGACAAAGAAATCATCAGCATTGCAAAAAAAAAAAAAAAAAAAAAAAA